AGAAGCCCGCGGGCTTCTGCCTGCTCCAACCGAGGATGCTCATGGCAGCCGGGCGATTTACCGAAGATCTGCCTGTTCCTTGGGTGATTGTTGCGTAAAGGCCTTGCTGGCATATTTTCATTTCAGGTTTGTTGTTTAGGATGTAGGCTTTAGGGCTGATACTAAGGGCTTGGGAGTCTTGCGTAGAAAGTTGGGTGTAGTGTCTGGGCTTAGTGGTTCGGGGTTTGCGACACGTTGTTGGGGTTTTTTTACGACCGCCATGCGCCACCAACACTGCTCCGGAAGTAGTTAACAGTCTCTGCTGAGCGCGTTGGCGCAGCAGCCAGCCGAGCAGGGTATTCTGGGTGTTTCGTAATGTACTGTTTAAGGCCTAGGAGGTCCAACCTGGTTTGTGAGGAGTAGCCGTTGTTGGGGTTAGGATTCAGGGTTTAGGTTTTGAGCTTGGTGGTTCAAATTCAAGGTTTCAATTCTTCCGTTTGTTGTTTGTGGTCATTCAGGTTCGTGGCTCCCAAAGCAATCCATGAGCAATCTGACAGTCCGGGTGTGGAGCCGGACATTTTAAACCCATGGGTTGACCTGCCGCATCAGCTCCAAGCTAAATCTCCGACTTGAGCACGCCAGAACTTTTACAAGGACTGTTGCTGCCACCTCTCATTTTCACTACTGCATGGAAAGTCCTGAGTCCTTAAGCCTCAAGCCCTAAACCTAAAACCCCCGTCCTTAGATCCTGAACCCAAGTGGTCACCTAGGTTTACGGTCACAACCTGGACTTGGCGCTTAAGGAACGACCTTTCCAGGCCATGATGTTCCTATTAAGTACTCCAGGTTTGGCAGGGCTTGGGTGTGGAAATTAAGATTTCAGGCTTGGGGTGCTGTGTTTCGGGTTCAGGATTTAAGGTGTAGGATGTTGGACCTGATTTTTAAAGTTAAGGTTTCGGGGTCAAACCCCTTAATGAACATGGAGCCTTGTATTGCTGAATTTCAAGGGAGGGTTGTCTTTTTGGTGCCTTTTTGAAATTCTAGGCTAGCAGCTTTGGAAAGCTTTACCTGGGGGTTCAGGATTTACAGAGTTGGGGTGTAGAGTCTTGGGTGCCATTAAGGAATTTAGGTATTTGGAGGTTTCGAGGTTTTTGGCTCTGGCTTTTGGAGGTTAAGGTTTAGAGTTTCCTTGGTGCCTAGCAGGGAATGGGGGGGGTTGGTCAAGTATGGGTTTTGAGGCCTTCATGACTGGCACTGAGGGGGTTGTTCTAAAAATCCTTGTGAGGAACAGGCCATTGGTAATACAGGTAGGTCCTTGAGGGGATCCGAACCTAAGTGGGAACCTGCCTCTGTCCACGTTTAGGGGACTTAGGGTTTAGGGTTGTCAACAGGGTTTAGGGTTTCAACCACAACTTGGAGCTTAGGGTTGAAGTGCCAGGTTCAGGGTGGAAGTGTTTACAGGTATGCTTGTAGCGGACTAAGCCCTTGGGAGACTCCATCTTGCCACCCCGAGATCGTCACCATCTCGCCTTGGCCTCTTTGGCATGTCTTGGCCATCTTTGCTGATATGAACCCCGGTCCACGTTTGGAACGTTGTGTCAATCAGGTTTTGCGCGACTTCGTGCTTAAAGCTTTTCTGTTTTATAGAATCTCATGCCCCTCGCAACAAGAAGAAGAGGACCAGATGAAGAGCAGCACAGTAAGAATAAGAAGGAATACTGGCAATATTCCTGGGAATCTAACCCGAGGAACGGCTAGCAGGAAATGTAATTTCAGTACAATATATTCCTGCATTCCCTACTGACCCCAAGCACGCACATGTACAGCCAAGGAACAAGGGTATGCGGCACTTTTCTGGCGATCGCAAGTACATGCGCGGGTATAGCGACTGGAACCTGCGCAGCGACGAACTGTCCCCGCTGGCGGGGCTTTCTTCAAATTTAATAGAATATGGGGTCATATAGGGATTATATAGGAGTTATATAGGGATAATGGAAAAGAAAATGGAAACTACTATTTAGGGTTTGGGGTTAAGCTGTAAGTGGTATGACCCTAATTGTACCGAAATCAAACCAGAGACATGAACTGCAATTTCGAATGCCACTTGAAGCCAGGCTAACGCGGGCGCCCCCAGTTCAGACAGCCTCTAAACTCTCAGTACCCATCCGAAATCCTTTCCAAGTCTGGAAAGTTGGTTTTGTCATACAGCTTTCCAGGGGATGACTCTTTATCCCTGCATGTCCTTAGGATATTTCAAGGAAATCTTGGCTTGCAGAGCTTGTCAGGTTTCCCCTGGGAATGCCTTCCTGTCTGCAGAATGGAAGGAGGAGCGCCCCTCCCGCCATTTGCCCTCCACGAACCTGTTGCCTCCCTGACATATAATCCCTATATAACCCCTAAATTACGTATATAATCCCTACATAATCCCTATATAACCCATATAACCCTATATAATGTACAGTTCTAAAAGCGTGTCTTCATAGCATCCCAGTCCATACTGGGCTGGAAAGGAGTATAATCTGCCAGCCATTTGGATACCCCCCTTCAGCGTGTTATTGTTCGGTCCTCTTCGGGAGGTGGCGAGACTCATGAGGGAGTTTCTCAAAATCGCTATAGATACATTGTGGGGACCCCCTATAAATCTTCCAGATATCCTGGGCATGTATTGAGGAACCCATGTGACAGGAGGCAGCCAGAAAGATTGAGCGTCTAGTTCACTTGGACCATGGCAGCTATGTGGATACGCTCCACACAGAGTCTGGAGCAGCCATAGAAGTGTTTCAAGTTTTCCTCCACATGAGATATACGAAACTTTGAACGCATCTTAGGGGGTAAGATGCCATCCTAGACCCTGAAACTCAGAATCTGCAGACCTGAGAGTTCAAATGGGAGCCCTACAATCCCGAAACTTAAAGCTTTCAAAGCAGACTTCAGCATCATGACAAGAAATTCGAGAACACCGTTACTCTTGAAGGGAACCATATTGGGGTTCCTGAAGAGAGGGTCCAAATGGAATTAGCAGGGCTTGTTCGAATTATTGCATGTTGGGGTACATAAACAGGACCCCCATTTTCGGAAACACCCATACAGCTCAGGAACTGCGAAGGCAAGAGGATGGTTGGGGACCCTTGCTCATGCTTAGCCACCCAGGTTTGGGGGTTGGGATTTAGGGGACGGGGAATTATGTAGGGACTACTGCAGGGGGCCATTCTGCCAGTACCACCTGGGCACTAGATAGGGACAAAATCAAGTGAAAATTAATGAGGGAATCTCTTATCATAGCATTACATGTGCAGATGACACCAGTTCCTAGCTTCGAACAAACATGATTCAAAGAGCCTAGCCCCTGTATGATCCTCAATCCCAGGGATCCTGGCACGATTCTGTGCGTTGGTTCGTCCAGTGCTTGTTCTGCTTGTGCTTAGGAGAATGCCCTTATTGTTCTCATGTTTTTAAAAGGAGGCTGTGGGTTTCTCCCACATTTTGTCTTCTAAAGATGGACAGCTTGCTAGCCCCTTCTTTCTGATTCATTGTCATGCTTATCTTCTGCTTCATATATGCCGCCGTCGTCATCATCGTCAGCGAGTTGCTATAAGCATTTGATCCTTGTTGCATATCTGGAAAAAAGGATCGGCATGCTACTCCTTGCCTGGATCCGCAGTCAGACTGCCACGGCTCATAATAGTGCTCAAGCACCATCCTCGCTTCTTTTCGTTACCACATTCCGTCTAAGCAGGTTCAAAGGTCGTGGTCTGAGGTTTAGTATCGCGTCCACCTGACAGGGCCTTCGTTGTACCAGATATGGGCTCTCCCAAATTCGGGTACGCTTTTGGGTGTCCCCATACTAGGGATTTTTATTTTGGCTTTTTCCGGGATATTCTTGTTTTGTGAACCTACCATGTCCTGCCTGGCGCTCCGTGGGGAATGATGGAGGAGTCGGTTGTAGGGACTGCTCTATCATAGAAATCCATTCCGTTCCCCCACTCCTTACTTGGCAGGTCGGGGGGACTTAGTAAGCAGGCTAAATAGGGAGTTCACTAGGGTTACTACGTGGGTCACACGGGCTAATGTCCCAGTTACTCAGTCCATGTGACCCTCCAGTTACCAATCACTCGGGAGTCTTGGAGCAGCAGGGCTTTTAAGCTCATGTTGTCAATGGTTACAGCGCAGCAGGAAGCCCAACTGTTTGAATCAAGATGATCGGTTTAGCGTTTAGGGCTTTTAGGGCCCTACCCCCTGAACCTTGACCCCCAAACCCTAAGCCCTAAACCTTAAACCTTAAACTTCAAATCCCGAGACTTAAACTTCAAACAATAAACCCTAAATCCTCAAACTTTAGCTCCATGCACTGAATCTTTGCCAGTTGTGGCTCAGGATACTTGCGGCCCATCGTCCGGAGCTTGGTGGACGCCGCGCAGGCCGTGGCCGCGGCATCCGAGTCGCGAGGGCTCGAAAGGCTGGGCTGACTGTTAAACGGCGCAGGGTGTAAGGTTTAGGGTTTAGGATTTGAGATTTGTATTAGGGGTCCCTTGTTGGGGGTACCAACTTCAATAAGGGCTACAACAAGGCGTACCTGTTGGGGGGATGTTTACATTCAGGGCTACAAGATATTGGTTGTGTGTTTTTAATGGGTCCCCCCGTGTATGAAAACTCCCGTATAGGATACCTAGTCCACAATGTCTAGTTTCAACATCTGTCTTTGTTCGTTTAGTTTTTTCCGTACCCCGAGTTGATTCGTTCCAGCTTAGGACAGGGGATGCCAAGTCAAGAACAAATTTTATTCATGCACATTTTGCTGTTGAATTTCCCCGGTAAGTATCCCCAGAAGGAAGCTGGCATATGTGGTGCTGCTTTATGGTGGGACTTGGGCTTATCTGCTGGAACGGCTCGTGCGACATTTGGCTCAGCTCCAAGTGGCATACCCGCTTCTGGTAATTGCCATTGGCGACGACGCGGCTAGTGCGTGCCGAAAGCTTGCGTCCGCAGAGGCTTCAACTGCAGACGTGCAAGTAATTTGCTGGATGCCAGATACAATGTCTCAGGTTCATCGCTTTACTTGCATTCATGGACTCTTACATCTTGGCATCGATGTCCTGTACACGGACATGGACACCTTCTGGCTCCGCGATCCCACGCATCGAATCCTTTCGTCTGCTTCGGATTGGGACGCACTCTTCGCTCGCCATGGGGATGCAGATTGCATTAACATCGGTGTTAGTGTCATCTTTGGGAAACATTTCTGTTTTGCGCAATACGGCTTGATTCCAAGAAGCACCTTGAGTCGCAAGTTTCTCACACATCTCATCAACACTGATGACCCAGGTGTATTCCACTTGCGCGCTTCTGCGAACACCGTGCTATGGATGTCCCAGTTCATGGCATGGTATCATGACCACCCTTTCGAGATTGATCAACGTGGCCTACACATATTCCTGAGGCTTCCAGCTGAGAAAATGAAGATCTCCTACTACCCGAAGGACTTGGTTCAGATCCGTGGTTCCGTCCTGAATGATACGAATCTCAGCTGTCAGTGGATAATCTTCCTCAAAGGTGCTGGATACCGTGATGTTGCAGAGAACTGCTAGAATTCTTTTTTCATGCCCCAATCAAGCTGAAACTTTCCGAGCCATTCTTTTGGGACTTGGGAAGGGAACTAGTTGCACCCCCCCCGAACAACCTTAGCATTTTACAAAGTCCAACCGGATTTTTTAGGCCTCTCCTTACAGATGTTTGCTACCGTGATTTTGCAGAGAGCCGCTAGAATTCTTTGGTTTCATGCCCCAATCAAATTGGAACTTTCCCAGCCATTCCTTTGAACTTGGGAAGGGAACTAGTACACCCCGAGCTCCAGTTGCATGTTACAAAAGCCAACTGAGTTTTTTGCAGGCTTCTCGTCTATGTATGTATTGACTCCAACAGTTCCGTTTCAGGGTAGGGCGTTCTGCTACGTGTCAGAAGCACAATGCTCTTGGGCCCCAGAGCATAAACCCTCAAACCTCACCCAGTCACAGGAATTCAAGGAGTCCAGGTGGCAGAAGACCCCAACTCAGAGTTGGGTATATTGTAGAGGGTTTGGGGTTTAGAGCTGTGGTCCCTTACGGCTTCGTGTTTCGCAATCAGCGGACCTAGAAGCTTCATGCAGCGCTCAAAAGAATGACCCCTCCGGAACCTTTTTTTGCACCCCTATGCCTCCTTACCCATTAGGGACTCTTTAGTGCCCTTATACATCCCTTATACCACAGGTGCTTCGTAGTAGTCCACCAACCTAACCAGATCCCACAGCTGCTGCTACCTCGCCACCCAAACCTTGCCGCCCAAAAGAAGCGAAATGACCTATGAGCTACAGTCGATTTTTTTTACGGGGTTATGTATGGGATTGTATAGAGGAGCATTATAGGGGTTCTTGAGGGAACTACCAGGAGTTTAGACAGTAGCTCTTATAAGCCACACGATGTACCAAAGCAACATGGAGCCGTGCAAAGCTGCGTTTGAAAACCGCGATCTGTTGTCAAAGGTGTTTTCTTAAACCTCATTCTATATGTACATATATACATATATGTGGAAATTCTGTATGGGAGCTTGTCGAGATGATGCGAATCATGACCCCTTCTAACTTTTCTACGCAGAGCAGCCCCAAGAGCACTTTAAGTTTGAGAAAGCACCGTAGTACCAGGATCCCATCTAGATTCTACAGGGACTCCCCATCAAAATAATCATGTAGGGCACGTTCATTACCAGGAATGAGGTGGTCATCGGCCGGGTCGGCTGGCACGGCGCCCTCTCGAGGATGCGGGTATTATTGAAATTGGTTTTGTGACATGAGGCTAGGGTTACGAATTTTGGGATTAGGATTTAAGCCTGGGTTTGGAAGTTACAGTTTTCTACTTCGGCTATGTGAAAGAAATCGCCTTCTACCTGGACTTCAAGCAGCTAAACCCTAAACCCCAAAGCTCCAAACAAGATGTAACGATGCAGGATGCTTATCTTTCACTGGTGCCATGAGCCCATCGAGCTGAAAGAAGGAGAGCTGAACGCAGCTTTCGATGCTGCTAGGTTGAGTCTTAAGCTGTGGGGCTGCGGGGTTCTCCACTGCAGGTGGAAAGGTGAGGCCCAAGATCAAGAGGCATGACCTCAAAAATAGTTCGAACCATGGAAAACAGGGTGCTCAAATTCATGCTGGGCTTGGGAAAATTTTGCAGCACGGATTTCGGGGAGATGAACCCTGTGTGAGAGGCATTTCTGTGCCGCTGCTTCGCGCCAGAAGCTCTGAAAATGTGGAACTGCAGCCCCTAAACTGGCCTTTGGCTTGCTGGGAATGAAGGAATGGACAAGAAAATGAAAGCTAGTTTTATGTTTATATAGGGACTACTATGATGATCCATTCTAACCCTTATTATGGGGACCCCCAATATGGCACCAGCAGCACCCCTATTTTGGGGGAAACCCCCATGTACGCTTTCAGAAGCTTCACACCCGAAATTGAACCCTAGACTAGACGGTACATCCTAAAGTTGAACTGCCCGAACCTGAAACAAAGGCTTCCGAGAGCCTCGCATCTCACAACCTGCCAATCTCACTGGCACTGCTGGTCGTCTCCAGCGCAAACGCGGAGACAGCGTGGCTGGGTAGAGTTGCGGTTGAGGATGCGGATGTCGGGTTAAGGAGTGACGGGAGGATAGGAAGTTTTTCAACCAAGGGTTGCAGGATTGGGGTTGGAGGTTTGGGAATGAGGGTTGCAGAGTTCGGACGCAGGCCTGGAGCTTTAGATTAAGGATGAGGATGAGGACCCAAAACGCAGAACGATTTAAGACCTTGGATTCAGAGATTGCAAAGGTTATATTTTCAAGCAAACCCTTCGACGGGCTTCGGCATCCTATACCTTAAGCCCTCCGCCTGAAACAGAAGGGTTTTGAAGAGAGGTGGGCACCAGTCCTGCGCATGCGGCGCATCTTGGAAGCGTATGAGACAAAGCAGCCGATCAACCGCACTCCCTGTTGGTAATGGAACAGATGGTTATTATCACTGTCAGTTGTTGCTGCCCATGCAGTCTGCTCCATCCAGCCGGACAGAAGTCTATGTGCTCTGGTGCTTGGCCTCGCGCAGAGGACACTGGCGGCACTCCCCAAGCTTTGACATCTTTCTTGCCCGGCCGTGACATGCGCGGAATAGGACGCTGCTGAGAAGAACCATACATTGCAAAAATACCGCTGCTTACTGTCCCGCTGTTAATTGAAAATCCAGGCTCTGCCAACTGCGAGGCATGCCAGCGTTCAATTGCAACAACTGAAGTGCAATGGCTTTTTCAGGAGTATGGCTCGCTGGAATCCATGTATTGTGGTCGTAGAGCTTTCAGCTTCGCACATCTGCTCGTCATATCTTGTGCTCAAACACTGGCCCCACGGTCGAGAAGCGGCTGCACAGAAGGGCATGGTGGGCCAAAAGCATGGAGATTGGGATCTGCAAGTCAAACATGATTTCGCAGCATTTAGTTGGTAGGGTTTGTCAAAAACCCGTCTTGTAGCTGAACTCACAGGGTACTTACTGTTGGCGCTCAAGATCTGCCCAAGAAGAGGGCAGACAGCACCTATTCTCGCATCAGCTAGGAAACGTGTATCCTCCAACAACCCGCTCTATTCATTGGATGCGCACTGTGTGTATTCGTTCCCAAGTCCAAGTCCTGGCCCATGTGCCCTAAAGGCCCTTTCAGGCATCTAGACTGGGGTTCCAAAGTTGTAGGCCTGAAGTGGGCCTATTGTTTTGTTTGTTTTCGGGGGTCTCAGGGTCACCTCAGGTCTTAGTATCCTTACAACCCAAGGTTGACCTATCTGAATCTTATCCCTCAATGCAAAGCGAAAACCCTAACCCTCAATCTTGAGCCCCACGGGACATGGACACCCAGAACCCTGAAGCAGTACCAGCCCTTCCCTGGAGAGCCACGTGCGGTGCACTGCGTGTTACGGTTATATAGGGTTGCTTGGGACGTCTGAGTACATTGCTGCTTGGTGAGGCCGAAGTTCTTGCGGTTGTGACAGGGAATTGGAGGCATCTCCCCAAAGGTTCTATGGCCGCTGTTCAGGGATTTTAGGATTTAGGGTTGAGGGGGTAGGGGTTTAGGGCTAAGGGTTAGGGACGGGCAGTAGACTTCATGGGGCCCAATTGGGAATTTCAAAATTGGTTTAGAGGAGGGTAGACTGATTTCTCCCATCAGATCAAGCCCGCCGAGCTTGGCATCTTAGGTAGGGGTTTAGGGTCTAGGATTCAGAGAGTTTGGGATTTACGATTTAGAGAGTTTAGGGTTAAGGGTTCAGGAAGCAAGCTTGGCTGGGGTAGGGTCCGTGGTTTTGGGACTGTGGCTCATAAGTGGATAGGCATGAAGGTTTTATTCTCGAGGGATATCGCATCTTGAAGCCGCGAAGAGAAAGAACGTTTTCAGGGGCGCAAGAAACATCTACTACCACTGGACAAGAAGCAGGTGAGTTGTACCCTAAAAAACCGGCAGGCCCCATTGCTCATACATAACAATATTTTTGGTTGCGTTCCACAGGGGATGGGGGTAATATAGCTAGTATGTGATGGCAAGGGCTGCATTGGAGCCTGTTTGGGCAGTGGAGTAGGACGTGCTTCCAGAAGGTAGCTCTCTCCTGTAGTCGCCTTAGATGTAAAGCCATAGTTAGCGCAGAAGCCGTAGCAGGATCAGGGAACGTTTGTGAGGCAATCGATAGATTGCAAACATGCATAGGGTCTAGTTCTATCGGGGCTGCATATTAACAATGGAGAAGAAGGTGGGAACTATACTAGTATTGATGGTTTACAGTGGGGTAAGGGGGACTTCGATCATAGGTTAATAACTAATGGACAAAGCTGCGCTTATGATATGGTTTTGTTATAGGTGCATTGCTATGCTTGCTAAGTCCACCCCTCTCCCTCAAGAAAGGAGCATGTCCTAAAGTCATATGCGTGCTGCAAATGCACGAAGACTTCAAAGGCATATGTCCATGCTCAAGATATCCGTGCTTAACCATACGTGCAGAAGCTCCGAGTCGAAACACAACCTTGGTTGCTATACCCCGCAACCACTAGACTCCTGGCCTGTTCCTGACTGCTTCTATCATGCTTGGCTGTTGGGGGGGAAATCTTCTCACCAAGGCAGCACTGGCGTCATACAACTCAGGAACCCAAATCCCAGCAAACTCTTGCACATGCCTGCGGAATGACCTCATCCTGGCTTGCAGCGTTCTTCTACTTGTGGACATCATGCGCACAGGCCTGTTTTTCTTCGTCGGGGCTTGAGCACTCCAACTAAAGTAGGCGTTGTCTGCCTTGAAGCGAAGGCCAAGGCCGAAGGATTTAGTCAACAGGTTGAGAGGCGACTCTACTGGGTTGCTGTTAAGGAATTTAATTTGAGTTACTATATTGGGGAAACCCGATTATTTACTATATATGCCCATTATGGTAACTTAATTTAAGTTCCTTAACAGCAACCCAGTCTATCTTGGACGTACTTCAGTGCTTTGTCCAGCCAAGGAGCTTGTGAATTCAACCGGGTCCCGGTCAGTCACGAGACCAGGGGCTACTAAATAAGGAATATTCAATTCATCAATAATGGAGAACCGACGGGAAAAGGAAATCGAATGGAAACTGGGTTTACATGGAAGACGCTGATTGTAGTGCGCCTTTGGGGTTGGATTGGCCTCCGTTTCAGCACTTGCGTGCTGAAACCTCACTTGTGAACCTTCAAAGCGCTTCCAGAACTTCTTCCATACCCATACATATATCTTGCGAGGCACCTAGGTGTGAAAGGTTGTGCCGAATAGTATACGCCCAGAACACTAGATTTTCAGCACCTCCAAACAAGAATCTGTGGTTGCATGAAATGGGGCGTACGCAGGATGGCCCTCTCCAATCTGTATTTCGTCCTTTCATTACCGAATATCCCGGCAGCTATGGCGGTTTACAGGACAAGGACAATTGTCCGCAACATGTCGTGATACTGGCGTAAGGATTGTTGACAGCATTGCCACCAGTAGTATGCGACTGGAACCCTATCCACTGAGCCCAAAGTAACTCTGCTTTACCTAGTCTCATTAAAATGACTCAGAAAACGCCATTCCAAGAGGTAGGAAGCGCAGGAGGTTTTCGCAGTCGGTCAGTGCACATCCGGAAGGATAATCTTGAGATATCTGCCTGATCAGGCTGTAAACCCTACACCCTGAAGAAATAACCCAACTTCAGAGTCCTTATGAAAGTCGTAGTCTCTTCATAGTAATATTCAACATCCGACCCACCCCTAATGCCATAAGAGACCTTAAACAGTGGGGACGGGGACCATGTTTAATACTAGAGGTTGGTGGAGTGCGTCCCATTAGCTTTGGTTCAGCCTTAATCCATAAGCCCTAGATACCAGAGTAGATTCCATCAGATTTTCCATGCCCCTGTATACAAGAACCCCGATAATCCTCCTAAACCCCAGACCATAGACCCTAAACCCTGAGCCCTAAACCCTAAACAACCCTGAGCCCTAAACCCTAAACGCGAAGGGTGCACCGACCTATCCAAAACGGGACCTACCGGCCTTTTCGGATTACGACTGTGCCTTGGTGTCTGGGTGGCAGAGGTCTAGGGTACAGGGCTTAGGGTTCAGGAATAGGGTTTAGGGTTCAGGATTTAGGGTTTAGGGTTTTGGGTTCAGGATTAGGGTTTAGGGTTTAGGGATAGCGGAAAGTTTGGAATATTTCTCCATGATGATGCCTGAAGAGCTCGAGTATGATGTATACTTCCGGATCTTTCTGGGGTGTGCATCGGGAACGGGGTTCTACAAGAGCTCATATATAGATATAGATATAGATACAGATATATATATATATATACATATATCTCTGTATATCTCTCTCTCTCTATCTGTCTGTCTACATATTTGAAAAAGCAGCTGCCCCCCCCCCTTGTTCACCCCCTTGGCAAGTCCCCCTAACCCTGCAAGTGCTCAGGTGGGCACAAGACCGGGAGCCACGGCAGATTGGAACCTGATTTTCAAGCAGATCGAGACAAGCCTGGCGACCCCGAACCCAGTGATGCCTCCTGCAGCGTTAGAAATGATAGTGTTTTGAGGTTTAGGGTTTAAGGTTCTGGTTATCCTGGTTTTGCATGTTGGCAATTGTTTTACTGTTGTCTTGCAAGAGTATACTCAAACTTTTTGGATGGGTTGTAGGATTTGTTGCGTGGATGACCTTTTATGTTGGATGCTGCACGCCATCTTGTCAGGTCAGTGCCAACTCCAGCTTTTGACTAGAAGAAAGGGGCCAACCCGTTTAGAAGAATTCATGACAAAAACCGGTTATGAGGGCCAACTGTATTCGCAGAAAGGGTTGGCGAAGCAAGATCACTTGGAATCAAATGCGCATCATATCTGCGCCCAAGTGTATCCTGAAGCACGTTCTATGCCCCTTGGGCCACTTTCCTCAAGCAATCCAAGACTGCAGCTACCCCAGGCACCAAACACCATGCGAAACACTTGGGCCCCTAAATTGCATTGGTAAGGGGGGTAAAAGGGTGCTCATGATCACCCCTTATCATCATACCTACATTCCCCTGCCCACTCCCGCTTGAACACTGGCAGGAGCAACAAAACCCTCAACCCGCTAAGCTTGAAACACCCAATGCAGGTCAAGGGTTTTGGGTACCTTTAAATGGTTTCTAGCGGCATGTAGGGAAATGCGTATGTAAAAAATAGGGGTCCCCCTTACATGCCCCAAATTATTATACTCCACCCTCATAGCAGGACCTCCAATTGTTAAAACTCTCATCAACCCACAACCCCACACCCTAAACCCTAAACCCCGAACCCTAATAAGTGGTTTAGGGTATGGGGCCATCCTCGGAATCTTAAAGTCAACAGGATGACCCCTAAGCTCCCTATGGGGTATGGTCTAGGGTTTAAGGTTTAGGGCTTCTAGGGTTTAGGGATATTATTGATATTACCCCGATCGAGGAGGATCAAATACAAA